CAATTGTTGATATGCATAAGGGTAGACATCGTCAATTTTCAAGATTGTTAAAATCTGTTTTTCCCCATTCTTTAGAATCGTTTGTACCCGTTTTTCCCGCCTTTCGTTTCATTTGTACCTCAATAGGTTAAATTTCATAATTGAACCGTATCAAAAATTGTTTGTAAAATTTAAACTATTGAGGTACGAACGAAACTAAAGGCGGGATAAACGGGTACAAACGATTCTAAAGAATGAGAAGAAACGGATTTTAAAAAACGGATGGGGAAAAAACAGATTTCAAAAATCTCAATGTCGGGTGCTAAACATTTTTTTAATTTTTTTTTAATTATTAATTAATAAAGGTACAAACGAAACTATTTGTGGTACAATCAAGTACAAACTAAATACTATTATTTTCTATAAAAAAAAATTCATTTTTGAAAAGTCGGGTGCCAGGTTCACATAGCTTAATCGGTGAACAGATATAAAATATATATATGTATATGTGTTTGTGTTGAGAGTGTTGCGCTTTCTCCTTTTGTGTGTGTAACGTGTGTTATGTACCATACACGAGTATGACCTTACCGCGAGCCGTTATACCCAAAAATAGTCGCTAACGAACGTTTAGTTCAATACGAATATACACGTGGCTGTGAGCGAACGTTAACAACGAGAAAGAGAGTGAAAGAGCGTATCTTTACTTTTACAATTCTGTATTAATAAAATACAAATCAAAGGATCTAACTTGACACTTAAATACCAAAACCATAACAGTAGGGGTGTGCGGGATTCCCGAAAATATTCGGGATTCCCGAAAATATTCGGGATTTCCGTAAAATGTCCGGGATTCTCGAGTTTATACGGGATTCCGATTGATTCGTGATTCCCGAGAATACACGAGATCCCGCAAAATGTTCGGGATTCCCGACAATGTACGGGATATAGAATAATATCTGAGATTTCCGAAAGTGTTGTTATTCTTGAAAATTTCAGCAATCCGAATGTACAGGATTTCGGAATTTCCGGGAATCCCGAACATTTACGGGATCTCGAAATTCTCGGGAATCCCGAATGGTTTCGGGATCCCGGATGTATTCGGGGTTTTGAAATTCTCGGGATTCCATCCCGATCCCGGGAGGAATTCCCGTCCCGACCGGCATCCCGCACACCCCTACATAACAGTTTGTATATGTATTTGTATATGTATTTGTATATGTCAAATTGAGTAACCTCCTCCTTTTTCAAAGTTAAAAACAGTACTATGTCATGTATGTTCGGCCTAATCCCATTTGCAAAAATATACATATTGTTCATAAGTATATTATTTTCTATTCCAAAGATAATTACATTTATATAAACTATAATATATTATATAAAACATTTATATAAATTATAATATATTATAATATATTATATATTATTATTATATGATTACATTTAATACATCAAGGATCATTGCCTTTAGTAACTTTATGGCTTCTCAAAAACTGTTCATTGAATTAACTTGAAATTTGCAGAGAATATATTCAAAATATCATACTTTAAGGAAATGCAAAAATATCGATTTTTTGAAAATCCTGACTAAACCTTAACTCTTAATGACATGCGAAAGCTGCTGACAGAGAATACACAACTGCCAAGAACGATTTTGTAATCGCTTGTCACAAAGTCTCAGATATTTCTAACTAAAAACTAGCTCGAGACGTATTCATGAAAACTTATTAATAGCCATTTGTTCATGTGCATATGTTTGTTGTAACGTCTTGCTTTCTTCAAAATAAATTCTTTTGTTGGCCTAATAAATATATACTATCCTTATCATTAACTGTTTACGCTACTAATTTTATTTTGTATGTTTATTACCTTATTTTATACGAATTTATATTTTGTTTTGTATAATAATCGAATATATTATACTCTAGTACATATTTTTATTTCACTATAGCATTCCATTATCCTCTTGTTCTAACTGTAATCAATTTTCACTGAAAGTGCACGCAATCTTATATTAAAAAATACGTCTGGTCTAATATCATATGATACAAAAAATAAATTCGTATAAAATAAAATAGTATATGCATAAGGAGTTAAATAATAAAAATAATAAATATATAAAATAATTTATAATATTTATAATGTTCTTGGTCTAATAAATATTTATTATTTGTTTTATTCACTACTTGCATACTATTTTATTTTATTTACTCCGCAAAGAGAATAAACTATAACTAACTACTATTTTATTTTATACATTTATAAAAATATATCAAATAAATAATGAGTATTTATTAGACCGATCAAAGAATTTATATTAATGGATTTACAATACAGACATTGTTCATTTAAATTTTAATTAAACCTCTAGTTATGTAAGAAAATCAGAAAAACTTTAAACTTGAAATTGTAAATTAAAAGTAGTAGAATAATTGGTACGTACTTATGAATTTTAAGTAGAACTGAAGTGACCTTCAATCTTCGTAATTCTATTAGGAACCCTAAGATATCCGTTTAGGATATTACATATTACATCAATTATCTTGTACAATCTTCCTCAACGCCTGTCAGTCATTTTATTATTTATTCATTTAGCCATTCATCTATCATGTGGTCCACGCGAATACAAACTGTGTTCGCTTACACAATTATTTTGTTTACAAGTTTCACCTTTCGCCCTGGGTACATTAATATTTACTATTATTGCGGGAAATAATATATGTATTAATTAGTTCGCTTGTATTTGGTTATTCATTCATTCGTTCAGACATCGTAAATAGAATTTATGATGACGTAATCGTTCTTAACTTTAACTTTATTGATATTTACGTTTACACTAAATTTTTCGAACGATAAATAATTATTACTTTAACACTTAACAGAAGAAACTGTATTCGACTAAACAATTGTCAAATAATTTTAAGAAATTCTAAAAATGTCGAATACCAAGAGAAAACAAAAAATTAAAATTCAATGAATTATTTCACAATGAATAAATAAAAATGAGCCCATATAATCGAATAAACTCGTAGACATTGATTTTATGTATCATTTAACGTTCAAACAAATTGATATCCACTCCTGATAGTCACATTTTACGTCTTTTAAATATGGGTATAAAAGATATTTTGCTGACGCCATTTATTATTTGAAATCGATGTACACGTCACATCAATTGCTCGAAAATACTATAAAATACTAATTTGTTTTAACGCTTGCCTCAGGTCACCGAGCATAGTCACTCTCTTTTTCGAACACGAAATTTCAAAACTAACCTTCCTTACACAGATTCTGATACTAACAATAAGCTGAGCGAGTATACCGATAAGCTCTCTAACTTTATTCATTTTTTTCGTGGCTCCGTCAATTCTTTCAAATTGTCCATTCATAGGGTTTATCTACCATAAAATTAACCAAGCTTCAATTACTAGTTCTCAAGAACTCCTTATTCTTTGACTTTTTATTATTTATCTACCATTACAGAGTTTCGGAGAAATTTGGAATTCTTGAAAACAGGTACGATTCGTGTAATTAATTTTCCAATTTTTTTTCCACATTAATTAAAACATAATATCTACAAACATAGGTGCACTTGCCAGATTGAAGGAAAAAGCGAAATTTGTATCTAAATGGTTTCATATTTTCACAAATTTCGTCATTAGCAATTTTTCCCTACACGAAACTGGTATACATGTATCACGTTCCTCTACTTTTTTCCATTTCTTAAAAATGACGTTCGCGACTTTCATACTTTTCAACATATTATTTCGTTCAATTTTCTATGTCTGAATAACATTTGGAATATTTTTTTAAAAATAAATATATCTTCTTAACAAATAACACCTGCATTTCATAAAACATGAATTAATGAGCACCAGTAAGTCAGACCCCGGTAAATCTAAATCTGCTAAAGTACATATTTTTATTTAGGTTCGTTAATTTCTGTATGTAGCTGCAATAGTACGCGTACGTTTATTTTCCATTCGTTGTAACGTTTGTAATAAGATTGCTACTCGGTTAAATAAATAAATAAGTAAACAAATCAACCACATTCGTTGTTATACTAGTATAAAAAGACGCTTCATCAATACGGAACAAGTGGACTCACCTGGAATCAACGATTGACGGACACGTTATCCTTAATCCATCACCGAGAAATGAACAGATATTTTCCAAGATGAAGCTTCCGACAGATTAAAACATATCTAACGCATGTCTGCACAAAATTGAGGGAAAAAGCAAGAATACCGGACGAACACGGACACACGGGAAGGCTGCTGAAAGTAAAACTTTCTCGGTCGAAATCATCCACCACTTGAAACCATAGACACGATTCTACGCGATTTTACCATGGCACATGTACGATTGAGTTCACGAAACGGTTGTATTTTAACAGATTCCGAAGTAGCAAACGGTTTTTCTCACTATAGTTCCTTTAAGAGGAGTTACGAGATATTATTGCGACACAATATGACACAATGTGTCACAACTTACAACTGCAATGCTCGAGACCGCCGAGAAGACTGAGTACACAGTCGATAAGGAAGTATCGATTGGTCTGAGTGTCGCGGAGTGGGGAGAAACTGGTTAAACTGGGCGCTCACGGTCTCTATCAGTTTGTCGCGCGTAATTTAAATTCTTCGTTTCTCATACATACACAATTTGTCTTATTTACAAGAATTGAATAGTGTTCCTATGTGAAATCAAGAGACGCGGTAGCGTCTCGACACCAAGTACATGAAAAATTATAAAGCTTCCCCGTATATACAGGGTGTCCCAAAAATGTTGTAACACCTTGAAAGGAATGGTTCAGGAGGTGATTTCAAAGAACTTTTTCCTTAGCGAAAATGTTGTCCGAGGCTTCGTTGGGGAGATATTAAGGGAAAACCCCGACCAATCAGAGCGCGAGTATGCCGGTTGAAAGTAGGCTACGCGCTAGGCGGCCGCGCTCATACGCTACCGCGAGCGCTCCAACAGTATGTTTTTTGACAGACGGAGTTTTTTGTTAATATCTACTTAACGAAGCCTCAGATAACATTTTCACTAAGGAAAAAGTTGTTTCAAATCACCTCCCGAACCACCCCTTTCAAGGTGTTACAACATTTTTGGGACACCCTGTATACCTGGCGTTGGAGCTACCACGTATCTTTTACGGGAGAGATGGTCCATTCCAACCTAACCTGAAACTTCTTTCATTAATATCTCATCACGCCTGCAATATTTTCTGAATTTAAAGGCATTTTTCTAATGTAAATCGCATATAAGTTTTCGAATAAAACCAAAATCAATCAAATCGGTCCACGAACAACTGAGATATCGTAATACATGTCATGAGACTGTCAAAAACGGCTTGTTCTCGTTCTCCCGGTTTTATTTCATCAAGGAATTTTTTGTCAACACAATAGGAGCTAAGGCCGTTCGTCGATTCGTCGACTCTCGGAATCGCTCGTGACGGCCGCTCATGTCGCTCATTCATAACCTGTGAAGTGTCAAATATTTTACACTATTGAATTATTCTTGTTTTGTAATTAAAGTGTGTACTTTTTTAATTTCTTTATACCAGAAAAATGTTTTCAATTTTAATAAATTACAGCCAGAGTTGTAAAGTATTGATTCATCAATTTTAATTACAAGGTAAGTAGCCAAAATCTGAATTGCCAGATATCTTTATCCATACCAGAAAACTGTTTTTAATTTATATTTATCCATACTAGCAACCTGATTTTAATTTAGACCTTTTATGTAGAACTTCTAGAAACGAAGGGTAGTCACCAGGCTTGGAAGTTGTCCCGAGAAGGTTATAGACGGAGATAAAATTGTGAAGTGTCAATCAAAAGCCATAAGATTACAAAAATTATGGCCGACCGCTTGCAATGTAGAGCTCACCATATTAGTGAAGTTAGTATGCTGACAACATATCTCTTTTGACATTTTACAATTTTTTGCAAATATTCCTTTAAAAAACACCAACAACAATTTCAATGCTTGTCATTAATTTGATTAATTTCTCATTAATAGTATTTCAATTTACTGATAAACATCTTAGACTAATTTTTTTTATTCTAACACAATAAATTGTGCATTAGAAATAATGGATCTTTTCATTTATTTTTTTACTTCACTAATATTTAAATTTCTTGCAACAAGACTTTCTGCAATGTGTTCTGCCTACTTTTGAAAATTTAAAGGATGGAAACTGGTCTCTTTATGCTTATTATAAGAAAAGACTGATGTATTTTTATTTTAAGCTCTATGTTAATTTGCAATTAAAGTATGGTTTGTATGTGTTATTTACAGATAATTGAAACATAAGATGATGCGGTGTGCACAACATGAATTTACTAAGCCAAGCAAGGTCGTGTTGATGAATAAGAATTATTTTAAAACACAAAATAATGAAAGTGTACTGATATTGTCAAAGTTTTAAACTGACAAATTATATGAAAGTCTGCAAGAGAGAAAGTATGGGTATTGATGATCTGAGAATGCTTTGCCTGGCCACACCAAGTATTTGACTTCCAGGTCACAGACATCTAGGCAAATGTCTAAACAGTCTCAGTTTGTGGTTGATACACTATTTAGCTTCTTCATTTCACCGCCAAAGTGCGGAGCAGTCAGTTTAACAATAATAATTTAAACAAAATATTGTGGTAATCTTGACCACAGTTACATGAATCTGAAAATGCAAAATAATGTATATCTGACTAAATACTAATATATGTCAATTTATATAAAATATGTTTATGACTTCCAGATTGTAGAAATTGCGACTCCAAGTTAGTATAATTTATTATGGCTTCCATTATGGCATACATATGAGTAAATATAGTAATTACTTCTTCAGTAAGAACCGAAGGGCCTCCTCTATGTAAGTGATACAAATATTTATAGCCAACAGTTTTACCTTTATCCTCCACAATTAATAATTTAATTTTTTAGCAATAGAATGGGAGCCTATAGCCAGATATGTAAATTTTAATGGAATTATTAACACAATTGGATAAATATTCACTTTCAAAGATTTCCAGAAAACAAGTCATGCCAATGGAAGGGTCATGAAGATTACTATCGTTATCACAAATTTCACATCTGTTTTTGATTTCAGTAAAAGAAAAGAATCTTGCTGATTTCGTAAATACATGTTTTAATCGAATATTTTTCTCTGCATGAACTACTTCATTGTATGAAACATGATAATTACAACCAGATAAAAGTCTGTAATTTCTAAATCGTTTCTCTAATTTTTCAGTTGAAAATTTTCCTGCTAAAAGATAAGGTATGTCAAAATTTTGAAAGCAGTACCCTATGAGTAGTAAAAGAACTCTAGTACTTTGATGTTAAGCTTTGAAAGTATCTAATGTTAAATGACCATCTGTTTCTAAATTTGTCCAAGAATCTAACCATGTTAAACATTTCTTTAAATATTCATATCTAAAATCATTAACATTTAAAATCGGTTTACAAAATTCGTTTCTTTTCCTGTTACCTTTAACACTACTTTTATTATTCACAATATCTTACCAGTTGCGAAATATTTCTAAAAAATGGCCAGTATCTGTACAATTAAAATTTTTGCTTATCAAAATTATTAGGAAACAATGATTTATAATTTAATTTATAAGCTTTTTTAATAATTAAATATTTTTCGTAATCGTAAACCGTACGTAGATCATTAAATTTAACTAATCTTTGTTCATTTATATAAAAGTCGGGGAAAATAAATTTTACCTACATTTTTTTAATTTAACCAGTTATTTCTTATATTTCTCATTATATGAACAAAGTCAAAAGAAAGAAAAATGGTTTTATTAGATTGTGAAGGATTAGGAAAACTTATTTCATTGTCAAATAATTTATTGAACATGTTTCTGTTCATTCTATGATTATCTGTTAAAATGCATATTATTTCAAAACCACATTTCTGAATAGATTCTATAATTTTGTAAACAATTGAGATCATTTCATCTCCGGTAATAACCGCTTAAAAACAGATAATAATTGAACTATTTCCAAAAGTTTAGCTTATCATGAAAGCTAAAATAGGTTTTGCTAATCCATTACAATTCAAACCGCAACCTGTAACTCTGTTTGATCTATACTGTAATTTAGAACTAATATATATTTCGTCAATTAATAAAATTACTACTTTCTCTTTGTCCGTTAAATTTGAAGATATATTAATGAGATAAGATTCGTTTTGAATATCATTGTGTGCTGTTGTATTTATATTAGATGAAATATGTTGTGAATACCGTTTATACGGTAAAATAAAAAAGTTTCTTAATAAATTATATGCAGCTGAGGATTGAGTATATCATGAAAAAAGCCATAATAATGGTGCATGAATTATATTGATTGTTTTTATTTTTTATTTGCTGTATTTGATCTATTAATTATTTTAAATGTTTTGCATGGGTGAAATCCATTGATTCTGCAATAATATATGCCTTTTTGAGTTCATCTAGAGACTTCTCCAGATGTTCTTCAATGAGACATATACCACTGTTAGAATCTGCATGCTGTACTTATTTGTATCTTTTTAATATATTTTGAAGTTGAGACCATCCACATAATTCTTATCAATAGGCAGTACCCACTCTAAATCATTATGTAATAATTCCTTATCTTTTTGAAAAACTTGTAATTTCATACTGTCATTGATTACAATCTGTGCATTAAATATCAAAAGTTCAGAATTATCATTGCATACAAGTACGTAAAAAGAAATTCTTGAATTTATTATTTTGATACTCCAACAGTTAGAAATTACAAACTTTTCTTCATAAGTTTTAACTAATTCTGAAAAATCACTGATCAAAACTGACGTAAGAAATTCCTCAATTAAATTTTCATGCTGTTTCCTTATTTTTTCTTGACGCTCTGCCGGGTCTTTTCTCTGGGGTAGCACATTTTTTGTAAAATAAAATGGGGAATTCGGAAAAATGGATGGTCTCGATTCGTTATAATCCTTGAACATCTCAACAAAACATTCTGCAGTACACCATTGAGAGATAGAATACCCTCGTATCTTATAATATCAGTTTCTGCAAAATACAGACAGCAGAATATTTTGTTGGTGTCTAATTCTTACGAGGAATAGCGGCTATCTATTTTGTTCGCAATTCCTCATCTTTAGGGACTAAAAATATCAAATTATAATTATTATTCTTTAATGTGCTATCATAGTTTCCCTTAAAATTGGGAACATAGCAACGTCGCGGAATTATTAATAAATAAGTATGATAATGTAAATTTGTTTACAAGTGTAAACAAACTTTTCCACTACTATAACAAAATGTTCAAAATCGATTGTGAAATAAATAAATGGGCTACGCACAAAGTAAACACCTACAGAGTTAATATAGATAAATATCCCCATTAAAAACTTGAAAAAAGTAAAAGAATTACGCCAAGTACATGAAAAAGTGGAGGATGAAAAGGAGTAATCACAAAAAAATAGAAGATCTCCATAAAAAACTACAAGAAAGTAGAAAAAGAAGTGAAATCGAAATGAGCTGGCAGTACATGAAGGTGCTTTCCAGCAAAGTGCAAAGGCGACACTATATAACACAATTTAAAGTTCAGTGCTTTCCAACTATGCCCAGCTAAAATGCTGTGTTCAGCAGTGCTGATGTTCAGATGCTAATGACAACTCATGTGAACTGACTGCTCCGCACTTTGGCAGCGAAATGAAGTTAAATAGCATATCAGCCACAAACTGAGACTGTTTAGAAATTTGCCTAGATGTCCGCGGCCTGGAAGTCAAATGCTTAGTGTTGCCAGGCAAGGTCAAGGTGTCAATGAATAAGAATCATTTTAAAATGTTAAATAATAAAAGTGTACTTATATTGTAACAGTTTTCAACTGACAAATTATCTGAAAGTTTGAGGGAGTAGAGTAGTGTCGACGAATGACCTTAGAAATATTGTAAAATGCAATACAATGGATTCAGTTCAGAAGTACGTAGAATGCGTGGCAGAAATTCTTGTTGGAAGAAAATTAAATGTCTATGATAAAGTGAGATATGAAAAAAGTGGTTCACTATTTGTTGCACACAATTTATTGTATTCGAATAAAATTCAGAAGTACTCAGAATCCATTGCAGAAACTCTTGTTGCAAGAAATTTAAATATTAAAGATAAAGTGAGAAAATTAAAAAAGGGATCCACTATTTGTAACGCACAATTCATTTTATTGCAATATCAGTTACAATCCTTAGAGTTTTAAAAGTACACACAACACAAGGCAGAAAGTTTTGTTACATGAAATTTAAATGTTAAAGATGAAGTGAGAAATGAAAAAAGAAATCCACTATTTCTAACGCATAATTTATTCTATTAGAATAAAATTAAGAAGTACACAAAAACGCATACCAAAAAGTCTTGTTGCATGAAATTTAAATATTAAAGATAAAGTGAGAAATGAAAACAGAAATCCACTACACGTAGTCTTTAAATAGCAAAATAATTATTCAATTTGCGGATTCAAATGTCACAAATACAAACTGACAGATTATACAGGTTTGAAATGAACGAGCGGCATTGGCGGCATCCATATTACAATTCGGGCCGACGAGTCCTGCCGAGCGATTCCGAGACTCGACGATCGACGAACGGCCTTAGCTCCTATTGGCTAAAGCCCTGATCTTTCTGGGCGAGATCGTGACGGAATAGAGACGAAAAAGTTCGTGGTCGATCTCACCGATACCAGTGGTATGTTAGTATGTGTAAAAGGTCTCACATTTCAGTTCGGATGGCAGTTCGTGGATCTCCGTTCCGTCGAACAGGACGGATTTTGATACCAACGATTCGAAGCGTCTCCGGAATTATGTGAACTCCTGTCATAGTGAATGAGTTTATGAGGTGTCAACCGTGCATACATGTAGTATATTTGAATGCAATTAGAATTATTATGTTGTACATATACATTAATCGGGACGCCGTATAGGAAAACACTTTTCAAACTACGTACTTTTACAACCGACTTTATTTCTCTCTCGTTCTCTTTCGTTCTATATTCTTCCGCAATCTTCTACAATCTTCCGAATTCTTCTGCCATTGCTCGGCATTTCGCCTGTTTATAAACACTCTCTCCCTCTCTCTCATCCGCACTAGAGATGGCGTGAACTGCTACTTTTGAATCACTCGTGATTCTATCATGTTCATTCTTAATCACGATAATTTTTGACAGTGATTCGTGATTTTTCGTGATCGCTTCTAATTGATTGAGAACATTCTTTTCACTTTTCACGAATTATGTTGTTCTTAGGTTATATATGTATTATAATATGGTCTAAAAGCAATGTTAATATAATTTTAATACAATTTAAATTTGACTCATTTGTAGTTTCTTGAATTTCCGCTAAGGGGAGACAGTGATACACTAACGATAATAATCAACATAAACCGCTTCTGAAACGCTATCTTTCGGATCACGGTCGTGATCGAAGTTTAATCACGACTGCGACCGTGATTGTGTGATCACGGTGAAAAATCATTGTTAGTGATTTTTCACGCCATCCCTAATCCGCACTCGTCTGATTTGCTCAACTTCACATTCATACATTGCGCAGCTAATTTAAACAGTCTACAATTATATAAACAATACACATATGTAAATGTGACGATTATATAATATTATACATTATTTGATGACCTATTTTTGCGTTAAATCGAAAACTACCGTTGATTACGGATGACGCATTCTTACGTCAAATAAGAAATTACAGGAATTTCATGTACAAATTTTATGTAGCAAATCAAATTGTTTAAGTAAGTCCAGACGCGACGGTGTTACACATATTTTATTATACTTTGTATTATTAGTAGTTATCAGCTCTGTGTTGTGTTTTCTAAAGGAAGTCTAATTATAGGTACATATGTACAATGAGTAACTGTAATATTCGGACACTATGAGATTTTTACATTATCACATCATAACTTCGTTTCTAACAAAACAAGCAAAAAACATAATCAAGTATCTAGAGACGCGGTAGCGTCTCGGCGCCAAGTACGTGAAAAATTATCCGTTACCGCGTATATATACCTGGCGTTGGAGCTACCACGTATCTTTTACAGGAGAGATGGTCCATTTCAACCTAACCTGAAACTTCTTTCATGAATATCTCAACACGCCTGCAATATTTTCTAAATTTAAAGGCATTTTTCTTATGTAAATCGCATGTAAGCTTTCGAATAAAACCAAAATCAATTAAATCAGTACACGTACAACTGACATATCGTAACATCATGTTATGAATCTGTCAGAAGGGGTATTTCTCGTATGATTTTCCTGTCGTCAATCTTTAGCCAAACTTCAAAAAAGTAAAAAAATTACGCCAAGTACATGAAAAAGTGAAGGACTCAAGGACCATTGAAAAATAGAAGATCCCCATAAAAAACTACAAGAAAATAGAAAAAGATGTGAAATCGAAATAAGCTACCAGATGATTTGCCTAGATTACCGCGCCCTGGAAGTCAAATGCTTGGCGTGGCCAGGCAAGGTCAAGGTGTCGATAAATAAGAATTATTTTAAAACGCAAAACAATGAAAGTGTACTCATAATATTGTCAGAGTTTTAAATTGACAAATTATCTGAAAGTCTATGAGAGAGAAAGTATGGGTATAGATAATCTAAGAATGCCTTGCCTGTCCACGCCAAGCATTTGACTTCCAGGCCGCGGACATCAAGGCAAATTGTTAAACAGTCTCAGTTTGTGGATAATACGCTGTTTAGCTTCTTCATGTCACCGCTAAAGTGTGGAGCAGTCACTTTACATGACTTGTTTAACTGCGCATAGTTGGAAACCACCGAATTTTTCATTGTGGTAAAACAGTGTCGCCTTTGCACTTTGCTGGAAAGCACCTTCATGTACGGGTAGCTGATTTCGATTTTACATCTTTTTCTATTTTCTTGTAGTTTCCTATGGGGATCTTCTATTTTTCAATGATACTTCCTTGAGTCCTCCACTTTTTCATGTACTCGGCGTAATTTTTTTACTTGTTTGAAGTTTTTTATAGGATCTCACTTCTTTTTACAAATCATTTATTATATAGAATCTATTCTAAATTTATATAAATAAAATTGATATGTCTGTAAACTCTACATAAGATGTCTAAATAATTAAATGGTTTTTTTAATTGGTAAAATAAAGGGAGAGGGGATAACGAAAGTGAATATATATATATTTCATATATATATAATTTATTAATTATAAACACTTATTCGTTCAATTTATAAATAATTATATATACCTGCAATTTTTTTTATTGTATTAGAATAAAGTTCAGAAGTACGCAGAACGCGTGGCAGAAAGTCTTGTTGCAAGAAATTCGAATGTTAAAGATAAAGTGAGAAATGAAAAAAGAAATTCACTATTTGTAACGCACAATTAATCGTATTGCAATATCAGTTCCAGTCGTTAGAATTTTCAAAAGTACACACAATGCATGCCAGAAAGTTTTGTTGCAAGAAATTTAAATAATGAGAAAATGAACACAGATCCACCATTTGTAACACATAATTTATTGTATTACAATAATATAGAAAAAGAGAAGTCAGACTTAGTCCCTTACTTTCTCAAAAGTACCCACGACACATGACAGAAAGTCTTGTTGCATTTAAATGTTACACATAAAGTGATTACATTTTTTCTTTAATAAATTTCTTGCAATGAAATTTCCTCCTATCCGTTCCGCATACTTTTGAAAGCTTAAAGGATTCAAACTGATCTTTCATTTTCTATTATTTGAAGTCATTCACGATACAAATTATCTTTTTAAAAAGAAGTGAGATCCCCATAAAAAACTTGAAAAAAGTAAAAGAATTACGCCAAGTACATGAAAAAGTGGAGGACGAAAAGGAGTAATCACAAAAAAATAGAAGATCTCCATAAAAAACTACAAGAAAGTAGAAAAAGAAGTGAAATCGAAATGAGCTGGCAGTACATGAAGGTGTTTTTCAGCAAAGTGCAAAGGCGACACTATATAACACAATTTAAAGTTCAGT